GGACTATATGGCGATTATACGTTCATATACTCTAATCTGAGTTTGTGTGCAGACCTGCGCCCCACCAGCTAAGTGCTTTGTAGAAAAAAAATCACGCCACAGTGAGTTATTTCTGGCTGGGTTAATCTTATTTCTCTGGGCACTTTGATAATGGAGAGGACTTAAATAATGAATGGGGTGTATAATACTGTTCTTCAGGCCCGCTGAATGAATTAAACAAGTGCCTATAAGTGAGTTTCTGTGAGTGTCTCTAATATAGCGCCACTCCTTTGTCTCTTTCAATTCCACGCTTTTATATTTGTATTTTTGGAATTGGAACAAAAATACATACTTCAGCGGTGATGAAGATGCCAGTGTAAAATGATAGAACGGTATTAATGTATGCTGCAACATAGACAACACACTTTATCACCGATACAGGAAGGATCTCGGTCTTTCTCTCTGCCTGTGCTCACATCTCTTCGTGTGTGTGTGCAATAGTGTCTGCATAATGCATGGTGTGTTAGTTGGCAGACAGCTTGACCTCACACACAGACTATGAGACTCTAAATGTTTCTCCGTCACAGAAGTTCACTGGTCTCTCCGCACAGCTGATGCATATCAGATTAATGATCCCGTGTGCAGAGGAGAGAGGGCATTGATGTTTCAGAACATAGAAGTATGTTTATCTTTTAACTCAGAAGTCATTGATTTTGTTTACTGGATAATATAAAAAAATTAAAAGCGACAAGTTTTGCTTCAATTCAACTTGGTTCAGAATGTAGTCAGGAAAGGTCCCAAACTTAATATAATTATTGAAAGCAATTGTAAATGAGGTTTTTTTACTTTTCATTAGTGATGCTATTTTCATTATTTCATTTTAATTCCATTATAATGCTCGTTATTTATTCAATTTGTTGATTTAGGCTGTGAAATCACAGAACATTTTGAAAAATGCCAGTCACAGGCCCATCATACAGACCAAAGTGATGTCCTAAAACTGTCAGTCCAAAACCACAGAATATTCCCTTTATTACGATGAGAAAAGCAGGGAGCATTTGAGATGCTGAAACATGACTTGCTGTTATTGATCAGTTTTCGGTCAATGGATAAATAATGGACTATTTGTTTCACCACTGTGACACGATTGCGCCAATATGTCCTTTTTGCTTCTTGCCTCGTCAGTGGTGGAAGAAGTATTCAGATCTTTTACTTAAGTAAAGTAAAAACTACACTAAAAATACTACTTTAAGTATAAAAGTTAAAGTAAAGATAAACCTCTCTCTGAGTTATAGTAAATGTCATTAGATAATCATTATTGATACAAGTGTGAGCAGAACTTTAATGTAGTTGCCCTGGGAGCTGAGCCATTTTATTTTGTGGGGCTATTTTATATAATGGTGGGTACTTTGATGTATAAGAACACATTAAATTTCATGTGCTTATTATAGGGTTTTAAGATCTTAATCTGAAAATGAACAAGTTCAATTAGCAGTGTCATTCTGTACAGTAAAAATATAAATTATTATAAAATGAAAATACCTCAGAACTGTATAATGTGAGAATGGAGAAGGGAACAGGAGCTACAGATGGACAGCAGTTCCTGCTATACCTTTGTAAGAGACATCCATCACACTAGCCTCAAGTTTCCAGAGAGTAACACAATCTCACTGTGTGTGTGTGTGAGTGTGTGTGTGTGTGTGTGCGTGCAGACTTCAGCAGTAGGTTGGTCCTGAACTGGTTTGGCTTCTGATGATAATAGAAGGTGACTAATAGAGAGCACAGAGCTGTCTCCCTTCGCTCTGGTCACATTCTCATTTGTTGCTACTGGCACTGGATGAATTATTGAGTTCGAGGTGTTTGGGGCTCCCACCCCTCCCCTCACATTCCCTCACTCTGCTTCCAAGAATGACAGCTACCCTGTATGAGTGTGTGTGTGTGTGTGAGCATGGGAGAGAGACACTATGGGTATATATATGTGCATGTATATAGCAATTAAATGGAACCTCATTCTGTCAAAAATGGTATTCCCTGCATGAAAACATCTCAAGCAAGCACACACATCTCTATTTTTCTCACACCCCTCATCTCTCTCT